AGATAAGTAATAAGGATTTAAAGTTGTAATAATATTTATATAAAAAAATAAATAAGTTTTTCGTAAATTGTAGATGCTGCTATTAATGTTTTTGGTGATAAAGTTTGGCACTTGTATCCAACCAGACAATTAAAACATTGTTCCTTTTTAAAATCAAGAAAAGAATTCTACTTAAAGAAATGGTACCAATATGTTATTGGATCAGTTTACATTCCTTATGATGAAACACCTGATCCTAATGAAGAGCTCACAAGATTAGTGGAAAATTTTAAACGAACACAAGGTTGGCCGTTTCATAAAAAAGAGTGCAAATTAAAAAGCAAAAATAGACGATTTAGTTATTTTTTGTGGGTTTATTTTATTATTTGCTTGTGCTATGGAAACAATGTCACTTTTTATTTAAATAATATTAAATTTAAATTTTGTTTTATAAAAATCTTAATAAAAAAAGTTTTTTACACAATTCATTACGCGATTTGATGCATTTAAAGTAGTTGAAACATATTCCCACCTTTGTCTGGTAATATTATTGAAAAAAATTATTAAGAACCATAAACACACAAAGGATTTAAAAACATGTTATCTTTATTTTATTGTTTCTAGATAATAAAGTGTCATGTTCAAGTAACTTTCTTACTTTCATTATTAATTTCTTAAGATGAAACAACTTTCTACCTTTAGTAAATAAAAAGGCAAATATCGATATTGACTAATCATGTGACTTATTTTAGCATCTACTGATGCTAAAATATTATGACTTATTTAAGCACTTAGATTAACAAATGTTCTTTATATTCGTGGTAAATTAATAATAAAATAAAACATATTAAGAAGTATTCGTGAGCGTAATTATCGTGATTTGATCACACGTGAAATAATGATAAACTACCTGTTATACATATGCTATGCCAAATATTAATCTAGTAAAAAAATTGGAGAAATTTGATATGAGAGCAAAACACAAGGAAACTTTTACTGAAAATAATGTTTAATACGTGAGTATTTGAATTAATACCGCAGAGTATATTTATTTATAAGATATTGATGTAGTTAGAATAGATATAACATCCTAGGGTCTAGGTTATATTGAAGCAATTCAATATTGACATTGTTCATATCTGAATGTAGTTTTATTAAATAAATAAGGCTCACTTATTTTATTATTTCAGTTAAAAATGGTTTATTTTCAAGAATTGTGTTATGATGTTTTCGACGATTGTATAACAAGAGAAGAAATTCTAGAGCGCATTAAAAATTGGATATATCTAATTACGGACTATAACAAGAGTGATTACAAAATATCAATTATGTGAATAAACATTTTTGAATTACTGAATCAATCTTAATTCAATTCCATATAACGATAAAGGCTTGTTATTATCAAGTTTTGCTCAAAAAAAAAGAAAAAAATATACATTTATTATATACCAATTTTTTTTACCATACGTATTAATATTTTTCTTTTTTATTCACACTCGAAGCGAACAATTAGTAGAAGAAAAATTTTTAGTCATCATATTTTAAAAATCGTCATAATTACATAATAGATCTTTTTTTTTATATTGATTTAATATATTATAACATAATTTAAGATATTAACATCATAAAGTATATTGACATCACCATTAATTAAATAAACTCAGCAATTTATCATAGATATGACCATAGTCAAATGGTAGAATATTTGATGCCACATTGATTTTTCACTTTTTTACTTTTACTATCACACAGTTAAAAGAATAATGGTCGAAACTATAGAAAACAAAACTGAAATTATTAGATGTTTGATTAATCTTATATAGAAAGCTACTAAGGGAGGAGTTAGGGAAATTCTTTTCAATGACACATTGCACTCAGCAACCATTTTCTTAACTGACGGCACTAAGGATACTGAAAATTTGGATGTACCTGAAGTGGTTCTAATTTCTGAAGCAACTTATCGAAAAATAATCAATGATCTAGCAAATATAAAGGGGAAAGAATCTATTACTATTGAAGATGTAAACGATATTAAAATATTTTTCGCAGGTCATAATGAAATCGGATTAAAATGAAATTTGAGGTTTCTAATTAATTACCTAAAACTCAATTGCTTATTAAATTGCTTATTATAAATCTACCCTAAAGACTCCATTGTTTATTATTAAAGCAAACATATAACCTAAAAAATCACCCAAAATTTATATTTTCCTATTTTGCATTATGCAATATTTCATTTTAATCGGATTTCATTTTAATCTGCCAAATTTATTAATCAACTGACACAGAACATTAACATACTTTTAAATAAAACTTAGGATCTTGACAGTGATAGACAATCGGAAGTCGATGAGTTAATCTTTAATGCTCATACAAATGAAAACGATATATTAAATTTGGAAGAAGACCAACGGACTAAAAATAGTCATATAAATAATTATTTTAAAATCTCAAAAAGAAGGGAAAAAAATAAAGTAAGAGATTTCAACAGTGAGAATCTAAAATTTTCAATAATACTAATTATAAATATTAATTATAAATAAACACAGCAGATAGAGGATATCAATAATGACTTTGAAAATAACGAGAAAACCAATAGACTATTGTCTGATTTGCAATCAATTAGCACCCATGATCAATTTTCAATTGATAATATTAATCAGCCTGATAATGAATACGTTAATGACAATCTTAATAATATTTACCAGCCTGATAATGACAATCGAGATAATATTAACCAGCCTGATAATGAATATGTTAATGACAATTGAGATAATATTAATCAGCTTGATAATGAATACATTAATGACAATCGAGTAAGAAATAAAAACATAAAGAATTTGAAAGTTTTTTATAACTAAGTTAATATCTGAAAATCTAATTTATTATTGACAAATTAAAAATTTTAGCACACTGAAAATATCAGTGAAACAGACGAATCTATGTCTTACCAGCAATCAATAAATGTTATCTCCGGAATACTTGAATAAACGACCCTAGTAAACAATAGTACACAAGCCGATGACATTGAATCTATTCAAGATAACGATCATGTAAGGATTTTCAACTAATCTTTATTAATAAATTCAAAAAATAAATTATTAATACATTATTTTCAACAAAAATTTGGTAGAAAAAAGGCTTGGATGTAAGTGATTACGATTCACCAGGATGGTCAGAATGTGAAGAGTGCTATGGAAATAAAGGGGAATTATGTGAATATTGTGGTTGCTCCGTGTGCAAATGAAAAGGTGACAGAGATCACATCCTCTTGTGTGATGGTCCTTGTGGCAAAAATTTTCATACTGGTTGTCTAAACCCTCCACTCAAGAGAATTTCTCCTGAAAATTGGTACTGTAAGGAGTGTAATAGTGGAAATTCAAAAAAATTGAAACGTAAAATGAGACTTGAATATTCAAGTTTAGATGAAATAAGTGCACAAAAAGACAAAAGATTAAAATCAAAAAGTGTTAAAAAATATAAAACACCACAGGATACTTTGGATTCTGATGATGATGACAGTAAAAATATAAGGAAATTTTCAAAAACAAAGACAACGGGTCGTAATAAAAAATGCGAGACTTTATCAGATCCTTTGGGTATTATTGTTATATCAAGTTTTGGCATGTAATATAAAATTTTTTAC